TTAGTTGTATTTCCTTTAACTGGTGGATATAGAGTTGCTGAGTGGGGGGGGGGTTGAGATGCACAGGCTGCAGTGGAGACGCTGCGCACAGCTGATCGCTTGGATACAAACCGCCAAATACAAAAACATAATTCAGATCCAGCCGTCATGACTCCACTCCGAAGGGACTCCCCGATCATTTCTTAGAGTTTCTCATCAAGGGGGTGTCTCCTGTCCCCGGTACAAACACACTGCCTGAGGAAGGCTATGTGTATTTTGTTTGTCATTAACCTTTTTCGGACCACTTATTTATTTATTTTGGTGACGATCCAACCTCCATGCTGCCAGTCTGGTTCAAACTGCATCCACCAAACAATATGATTTATCTCGACATCCCCAAAATAACCTAAATCTGACACGGTGTGAGATGTCTTTTCTACTGTTCAGTTGTCATTTCCTGCGATCTTCTTCATAAAGTCAGAGACCAACCTTTTACAGTTTGAGGTTGAAAAACAACATTTAAGTCTGTAAAGGAAGCCAAGAGTGAATTTCAATTTCTTTTTTAGAACTTCAATGTGGTGTTTCAAATTCAGATTACTGTCCAACCAAAAGCCCAGATATTTGTAGGTATCAACAAACTCAACAGAGACGCCATCAAGGGTGTCAATGGAGAGGCAAGAGGACGCCGACTTGGGAGCAAAAAGCATTGCTTTGGTTTTCTTACTGTTCAATAGCAGTTTGGAATCAAGAAGTGCATGCTGCAGCGTGATAAAATCAGATTTTAAATTGGAAACGACCATATCCAGAGAAGGAGCACATGAGTATACAATAGTGTCATCAGCACACACATGATAGGTGGAAAATTGCATCTGATTACAAATATTGTTTATATATAATATAAATTCTAAAGGAAAGTGAGCAAGTCCATTTCATTGAAGTTGACAGACAGGTGGGGTCAAATGTGTTAACCAGCGAAAGCATATTGAGTTAAAACTATAAGAAGTGGTAATGGTGTGATTGTAAGCTTATGATAGCAGCATGCCATCTAAAGAGTTATTTCTTGTGAAGAAGCAAGCTTTTTTTCCTTTATGGCTTCGTCAGCAGTTACAGACTATTTAACTAAAACCTAAGTCAAGCTCTATGTACAGCACACAATGAAAGACTTACTTCCACATTTCTTCACATTCTTGCCGCTGGGGTCAGACTGAGTGTGTGCATTGTCAGCTGTCACATACAGTAGGTCTGAGTTCATGTGTTTAACAACAATTAAGACACAAAAGCTCTTCAGTAGTCTACATGAGAGAAGGTGTTTATGGGGGAGAAGTTCCAGCAGTGACAATATGGCATTATTTTGAGGGGAATTAGAGAATTTGTCTGAATGTGACCATTTCTGTCTCTGGATTTGCGTCCAAACAGCTCATAGAAGAGCAGCCAGTGTCATATGATCCTGCTGGCTTCTTTGCTCAAATCAAATCACATGGAGCCATTGCATGCAGCCCAGCCTCACATGTGAAATCTATTCTTCCGTTCCCCAACGTGTCCCTCCTTCATTTTTTTTATCAAAGAGTTTAGATCCAAGGACATACTTCTCAGGGCATTTCTGGTCTGGGGTCACGTCTTGTGTCATGGGCACCGGCAGAAGGACTGTGGCAATGCAGAACATTTATTTCTACATTTTAAAGAGGAACTGCGTATCTGTTGCAACATTTCATAGATCTGAGGTGAAGTTACCACAACACAGGAAGCACTATATCATCCACCCTTCCTTTCCTCCACACACTAAAGATGCCCAATGTGTCAGTAAGCTGTTTTGTAATGCATGCATCCAAATGCTAATGTCAATCGAGGCCTACTGTAAGTAAACAGGTTGTATGTTGCATAAAATAAGCTGACGTAAAAATGTATTATATTTTACATCTATTGCACATGTTTTACTATGTCAGCATGATTGTGAAATTCAGGATGAACAGTAGTGTTTGCGTAATTTTGCAGTAAGATGGTGTCAGATTTTAGGCAGCTCTGAAGGCGTAGAAGCAGTTTGAAAATGGTTAACACTATGCATCATTATTTATATCATTTTTATACAGTTACAGAAGAAAGGCCCGGTCATATTTACTATACATGTTTCAAAAACTTTGAGTTAAACAGCACTTTAATATCGCATAATTTGCACGAGTACAAAATATAAGGTAAATTGACTACAAGCCTGTTTTCTTTTCAAATGTTGTCCTGCTACAAGACAACAACACTCCACCAGAATATTTTTTTTGTATCTGACATTGAACATGTGACATCAATACTGATCAATGTTGTATTTACTGTTTAACAGATTCCAGTGAACTTATAACCATAAATTAAAACCACTAAAGTGCTTTGTAAATACATGTGACTTTCATTTGCAGCTGTCCAATGAATGTAGTAAAAAGTAAAGTATTTTGAATGTAGTGGAGTAGAAATATAGAGTAGCATAAAAATAAATACTTATTAGAAATACAACTACCTCAATGTGTACATGATGTACTTTTTCTACTGATAGGCAGTGACAATATTTTCTATTCATTGAGGAGTATTTTACACCTGTGCAGCAAAGTGGACATATTTAGCTGCTTGCAAGAATACAGAATCTGTAGCTTAGCAACCAGCTTAATTAGTTTGACACCTCTATCATACACCTTATTTTGTGCTTTTCTTAAGAAATGATTCCCTTAAATATTACAGGATCACTTCTGTTTTTCTGCTTTTCTTTTGAAATGACAGGCGAATGTCTCATAATAATAAACCTTATTGCCCTGCAGTCAGCGTTACTGTACTGTATGTTCATCTCCTGCTGTTTAGTGCATGAAAAACTCCATTAATGTTCTAAGAAATACATTTTTCAAGATAAAGAAATGAAGGCCACCTGTTCCTTCACCAATGATCATTAAGATGGAATATATTGTATATAAATGTGCAGTCCATGAAAGTAGATTCCAGTCATCTCTAAAGAATGATGAGCTCTGATTTAGTGCAACGTGATTTTGCTTTAGAGTTGTAGCTTAGATAACCAGGCAGTGGCTGTAGACGATCATTGTGGAAACAAAGTAAGCATTGCTAGAGTCATTGAAGGGACCCTTTCTTCAGGTCGGACCTGAATAGTGCGAGCATGTGCTTTGGTAATCTGACCTTGAATCTCGGCGGTTAGAGGGACACATGAGGCAGCAGCCCGTTGGCCGGTGTGAGGAACGGCTTAACAAATATTGGTCTACAGTATGCATGGCTGATTAAACTTAGACACAGAAAGTCCTCTCTGTCCACAGCTCCAGAGCCAAGAAAACATGCGGCAGGGAAGGGGGGAGACAGCTCTCCACAGCAAAACACACTTACTAGAAACCCTACCCACTATCCAAACAACTTGACTGAGAAGTTTCTTATTCGCGCAACGATCACTTACTATATAACACTAACAAGGCTTTGTAGGCAATTCATCCTCAAAGTAGTAAACATTTGACGCCAGAACTTTTGTAAACAAGCGTCAAATATGGCATTCAGAGCTCCATTTAGTAAATAAAAGCCAATGGAAAAGGCTGCCTGCAACTAATAATGCTCATTGTCAATGCATCCGTTTATGATAATTAACTATTAATTAATTTCCTTCCAAGATGCCCAAAAGTTTAGGAATTGTAGCATTACGAGTCCCAAGTGCCCAAGCTGTCTATATAGGACATATTTGATGTAAAACCAAATATGTAGCAAAGAAAAAACTGCAGCGACTCCTCACATTGCTGAAGCTTGAATTACATTGTGTTTTAAGCTTTCTCTTCATATATAACTTTAACTACTAATATATTGTCAATTAATTGTCTTTCTGTCAACATATTATTTCTTTCGGCACTTATATCGTTTACAGGGACAATCACATTCAAAGGTAGCCCAAAATGTAGAAACTTTATGTTATCAGCAGAGACAAACACAGCACACAGCGTTACGTAAAATGCTTTTGTATTAAGTCTTTCAAACTGACAGGTGGATGGCAGAAGATTTTGTCCAAAAAGAGAATTACTATTACGGCACATTTAAAAATGTCATATTGTCATAAGAGAAAAAGAAATCTAGATAATACAGACATGGCTTGCCATTCACTGAACCATAATCCTAGTAGGTTAAAGTTACTTTGTTGTTCTTGTTGGACTAGTACCTCGAGAAACGGCCTGAATCTGACCCTGAAACAGCAGGTCTGATACAAGCTTAGCTTCCTGATAGTAAAATAGGAGTAGGCTATTCTCACTTTGACACCAAATGAAACTAGATTGTTCACTGAAAACTGTTAAAAGTTCTGATTGCCATCAAGACGCACTGCAGAGGAAGTAGGGCTCATCAGTTGGCACAGTCACAGGAGTTTTCTTAGGAAGGCACTTGACATGGGGTTCCCCATGCAGCGACAGCAATGCACTAAGGTCCTTCTTTGTGCACACTGAGGTGGGACAACGTCAGCAAAGTGCAGGTTCCATGATAAATCCACTTTCGCCAGACCGGAGAGGGGGGATAAAAACAAAAGCTCCTAATACAACTCCATCACAGTCCACAGCTTCAGATAAAATCTGTTAGTGGGAGGAATCTGCGTCTCTTGGATCCCACTTGACCTTTAGGGGAAATAAATTGTAGAGATCTGATTTGAGTAACCTGGGAAAGGCTTGAATGGTGATTGTTATGTTTATTGGCGATTTTAAGTGCTTTCAGGCCTCCTGCTGTGTCATTTCACCCAAAAAGACATTAAAAGTAGCCAATCCCAGCTCTGTCTGGATTTAGCATGACCCCACCACCACCCAAGAAATATGGACCCAGCCCAGAAGATGTAACAGTACAACTCAACAAATAAAAACACCAAAAAATAACCAGAAAAGAGCTGTCTCTTAGGTTTCACAATAAGACATTCCCATTGAGGCACATTTCCAGAGAAGTGTCATATACAAAGCTATTTAAAAAATCCAAAAACATTCAAGTACTTTGTCATGTAAACACTTTTTCTAGACTATAATACATAATCGATTGAAGTCTTCGTTGATTTGTGTTTGTGTGCAACAATAAGACAACAGTGTGAAGAGAGAATGAATAGGCGTTGGGGGGGGGGGGAGAAAGCCCGCAGGACAAGTAAGAAGCTAAATTTCAGCCCGGATATTTTTCTGGATGTTTTTCATGTTTTTTAGAGCAGGACACATGAACAACACTGGTTGCCACCACTGGGAACAGTTGAATAGTTCATCTGTCTGACTATTTCTGCAAATAGTTCGTCGACCGAGCCTTTATTTTTGGCTGAAGTTTCAATAAAAGGGCAGCTCCATTCCTGGGCCAGCGCCTTTCCTTCCCCGGAAGACACCTCTCTTTCCCCTTCCAGGTCCACCTTGTTTCCCACCAGGATCATAGGCACCCTCTCGTATCTCTTCACCCGGATGATCTGGTCTCTCATCGGCTTGATGTCCTGGAAGCTCTGCTGGTTCACCAGGCTGTAAACCAAAATAAAGCCCTGGCCGTTCTTGATGTACAGGTCTCGCATGGAGGCGAACTGCTCAGTCCCTGCCGTGTCCAGGATCTCGAGCACGGACGGGGACGAGTCCACCTCGATCTCCTTCCGGTAGAAATCCTCTATCGTCGGGTCGTACTTCTCGATGAAGGAGCCCGTCACGAACTGGACAGTCAGCGCAGATTTCCCGACTCCACCCGAGCCCAAAACAACCACTTTGTACTCCCTCATGGCTGGGGGGTGAAAAAAAATAGGCAGACTCTTCCTTTTTTCCGCGACGAAGCCTGCTCTGTCTCTCCCACCCGCTGACCAGCCCCGATGTTTTCAAAGCGAGCAGGCTGGGAAGGCTGCCCTCTCGCTCGGATAGGAGTCAAATCCCACGCCGGCAAATCCTCCGAGCCTGCTGGGTGACGGACTGCAGATCCGAGGAGAATCACCGCTCCTGGACATTAGCGTGGAAAATTAAAGCACATTATTTTTGATCGCCCTGTATTGTGCAACGGCGTTGGGAAGCGTGATCGCTTCTCTCCTCTTGCATGGCGTTTCCTGCCCACATCCTCAGCGCGTCAAAAGCCTAGGCACAGTTCCGTTTTCTTAAAGGAGCCGTCACCCGAAACCTCAGTCAGAGCCGTCAGATGACCAGACAGATCCTGCAGGCGCGTGCATGTCTGTGGCCTCTCTGCATGACCTCTGCCCTCATACATGATGACCAGAGGCTCGTCAGATGCCCACTGTCACTTTAATCATGTTAAGCATGCATGCTAATGAGGTCATTTATTTACATATGTCAGCTTACTTATCAACATTGTATTTATAATGCAGAAAAAAAGAGGACCCTGAAAGTTGCTGTCGACATTGATGTTCAGATTAAGCACATTTTTATTATTAATTGCATTATTATTATTATTATTATTATTATTATTATTATTATTATTATTATTATTATTATTATTATTATACGTTTACCTATGACAATGCATCAATTGAAGGCCTTACAATTAAATTCACATTAGATATTGTTACCACATTTTCTTTGTATTGAGGAGATTGTATGATGGTGTTTAGTGATGCTATGTCACTGTTGTAACATATCCTGCATTATATTGTTGTTGGTATTTCAACTTTATATTTGTTATACTTTTTTTTAATGCTGTTTTATTTCTATTTTGAAATGTTTACATTTTAGAATTGTTTATTTCTACTCTTTTAATGTATCTTATGTGCAAAGCCTTGTCTTTTATGCTGCTGCAACGCAAACATTTCCCAAATTGGGATCAATAAAGTACATCTTATCCTACCTTTGTGTCCTCATCAAATGATATAAGGAAGTTTACATGATCACAGAATATTATTATTTAGTTTTCTGAATAGCATCTAAATGAAGTTGTACACAACAGGAACCATGAGGTTTCTATTATTTATTGATCTTGATCTGTTTTTATAATCCCATCAGATCATCTATAGACATCCAAAAAGTCACCATGGTGTCGCAGCATAATGATAACAAATACAGCCTGGAAAAGTACCCTGTTTCTGAAAAGAACATGATGTCTTTTTGTTTTAACTTTATCTCAAACAATTTACGAATGGAAGCAGGTTGTGTTTTGTGGGAATAGAATATCTTCGTTTATATCTGGATTCCAGACTGGCTAACATAACACCCATGCCTTCTAAATGGAAAACACTCTCCAAACGATGGTAGGATGAATTCACGATCCAGATGTTATGTGAAATATTCATACACAGTGCAATGGAAGGCATGTTGCGAGTTCATGTGTGCTTGATGTATCTTTTTTTATTATCACTTTTGACCCAGATGAAGCACATAATGCCCTTAGCCGATCAATTAAATTAATAATGATATCATTCTCTGTGGAGCTGCTCCAGTCTTGCTGACTTTGAATCCTCAAGGTTGAAGTTCAGAAAGAATATAGAACAACCTATCCATGTGCCCTTCATATGAATTAAGCAAAATTCAATGGGAAATCAATACTTGAAGGTTGACCTGCAAGACAGATAATCTGTACATTATAGCAACATGGTATTCTTTAACATGTTTATTAATAAAAGGTTGACTGAGAATATCTGCATTTACTAAAATACCCACTACCCCACACATCCAGCACACACAGAGGCAGTGACCACACACCTGTTGCATGAGCAAATCAAATATTGTTTTATTCAGATTTCAAATTCAGATTCAGAGTCAATTATGGCAACAATAAAATGTGCATAAACAAATCTGAAGGCAGAATAGTACATTATTGTGAGGAAACTGTTAGCAAATACATAATCGGTGGTTGCATTTACAAGTAAAAAGCAGTCAAAGCGTACATGTGCCCCCAGCAGGGAAGATAAACCATGGCTCCAGCCAGGAGACTGAACATCTGGTTTGGAGAAAAATGGTGCTTTGGTTCTGTAGCAACTAAACACAGCAGCCTCGGGTCAGAAACATGTTGACCAGGTGACTGTTACATTCATTTCAAAGACTAATTTGCCAAATACGTGTTTGGTATATAGTGAGCCTTCGCCTGCTGAGTGCACAGCTATGATGGCACGAACAACTTCCCGTGAGTCAGTGTGGACTGTAATTATATGGCTATAAGAAAGTACCCGGGTGGATGAGTGCTAATATTTGATCATTCTTTAAATAACGTGTTTGCTCGGAAAATATTTTTAACACACAAGAGTAAGATGACTTGTTTTTTAAGTTTTTATTTCTCCCTGCTGTTATCTACTGTTTGTATATTTGATTAAAAATACATATTACTGTGTATTCTGTAATCTGAATGTGTTATCTTGCTTTACATAACTATGCGTTTTATTTTGTTTACATGTTTGTACTTTTACATGCACTCAAATCAAACGAAAATACAAACAAATTTGAGTTGTATGTTTTAGCTGTACCATGGGAGCAGCAATGATGCGTGACCAAGTCTAACAAATGATATGGATATTATTGGATATGTCATCCCAAAAGAGGGGTGGAGTAAGCATGACATGGGGATTTATTCCCCTTCGACATTCCCTTGCAATACTATTGATAAAATAAGACAAAAAGCGCATAGCTTTCTCTGAATGCATTGGCCAAGAAACTAGTGCCCTTCTTTGCAAGCAAGTTTATTTTTTAGCTGGTCTTCTAATTTAAGAATTTAAATTAATCTAACAAAATTCCTTATAATTATAGATCTTTTTTATTCAAAATAATATCTCAATATGATACACATTTTTTTCTCTGTTCATTTGACTATATACAGAAGTGCAAAAAGTCAACCTTCGTCCCTTAGGTTAGAACTCATCATCTGCAGCATTTCGGACCTCTCCAGTCTGGAGAAGTCTTCTCTCTCCTAATCTCACTATCCACAACATCCAAAGACCCGTCAATCTCACTGCTCGTTTTGGCCTGACATTCAGGGCAAACTTAAGAAATATTCAAACAAAAGTACATATCTTTTTGAAATGGATACAGTAGAAAATAATTTTTACTCTAAAACATGGACAATCTATATTTCAATACAATATATTTTCAAACGTGATCTTGACATGTGACAAGGAAAATCTAAGTTGGTTAAAACATTAGTTTTTTTTTTTCTCTGCCAGTGGCAGCAAATTAAATGATCTCATTCCTTGTATCAAAAGTCTTTCATCAACAAAATTAATTGATAATGTAACATCATCTGTAAAAGACATCCAGCTATATGAATGAAGTGAATATTTAAAACACATGATCATTTATATGGTTTGAAAAAGTTATGAATGTCATACTACCTCAAAATCTACAACGGCTATATCAATGTTGTCAAGTAATATATAGTAAGGCAAAAAAAGAAAAATCTACAACTACATACCTCAAATAGATTCAAATCCTTAAGTAGTACATAACACAGAAGTTCAATGAAATTTAAGAGAGTAATTGTTACTTTTACATAGAGAGAAAGAACCAAAAAGAAAAGAAAGAGATCAGAAGCGGCACGTGAGACATCTATAAAACATCATTGGTGTTCTTTACCTGCATGGTGATTGAAAGTACATTTGATTGGGCTCGGGCCCATTAATTGTAATCTAAGGCTTTGTTAGGTAAATTACAATCGGTAAAGACACACTAAACACCTCTCTGAAAACAAAAAGGGATGTGATCATAACATTGACAGATGATAAACATGTTTTCTTAAGCCTCGTGAGAGATGCTTCTGTAAGTCTCGATGAGTATGATTGAGAGAAAAACTGTGCTTTGGTTTCTGTAGTCAGATCTACAAGTGAGTAAGAACTTCCATTTTTTACTTGGAAACGTTTCCTCAAAAGCGAAACTTCACTTAGGATGAGTTGTGAAATCAAAACAGGGTGACCAGACAAACAATCATTCAAGTGCACATGTGGTTTAAATGACCTAATAGACCTTTGGGTCTGATGTTGTAATTTCTCATCAATACATGGCTCAACGGTGCTTCTTTGAGGCACAGTTTTAGAGTCGCTCCTCTTTAAAAGAGGCAGAACAAGGTAACACAATGTCAATTAAAGCTACACCCTCTTCTGAACCAGGCTTTAGAGTCAATGGACTTACACAACGTAATCCCAACAAATAAAAACCATCACTAGTCTATGAAAAGAGGCATGACAAAAAACCCTCCATTTTTGATTTTAAAAGATAGAAACGTCAACAAAAGAAACACAAATTTGGCGAGAACCCCACTTCTAAATGAATTAATCATTGACATTGAACGTAAAAAAAAGAAAAACACGCAACGGAGATTCTGAAACCAAACAATACAAAAAGAACCATACAAAAAAAGTTTACCATCGGTAAACAAATAACACTGCTGAGATAACACTCTGGTTTTTAGCTGTATGGCCTTGATGGCACATGTCAAGGTGAGAAAAAGCCTGGCTGTGCTTTCAAGGTACACAGGTATGTTGGTTTACCCAGAACATTCATACGTCCAAGACCCTCATTTCATCATCTAGTTTCACTAGTAGCCGTAAAAACACAATACTGTACATGCGTCATTCTTTTGGAGAATACAATTCCTCTTCAAATAATTGTGCCTTTCAGATTTTAATTCATATTCAAGCTGCATGTTTGCATTACACTTGTAAACTATGAAATATGGCTATCAATTTAAAAAATATATATAAAGCAGAACAAATAAAAAATAATCTTGGTCTACTAACGTACCAGCACTGGATGTTGCTTTTATACAACCCCGCTCTTGACCTTCTGCGTGTGTGTTAATGATACCAATTAGAACAGATTGAGTGCTATGATTTAGTCAGACACAGAGGTGTAATGTGAACGCTTCCCACAGAGGGACACACACTGACCCGGCACCAAGAAATCCCCTTCTTTTGGCTGGACGTTGAATTTGATATCAAATTCTTCTTGAGATTGATATGTGGGAAGATGGCACAGATCATGTGTTGCACCTTTGATGTTTACAAGTGTGATGAGACCATCGCCGTCGACCGGCTAAGAGATGGCAGACCCTCCTCGTCGGTTATGTACATATAGGCTGAACTCTTTTGGCTTGGACGGTGCCAGCACACATTCATTTGATCTGTAAAACATGACAGATTATGCTTCAAAAAAGGTCTTTAAGTTTTAGGACTGAATTAGACAGAAAGCTATACATGTGCATGAGCAGAAAGAATATGAGGATTGAAATAGGAACTCACTGTTCTTGAGAGGAACTACATTTGAGTCAAGTACTTGTGACTATTCAGATGATCTGCAGATATTATTGGAATCTGGGGGTAGAGAACAGACAGCAATCTTATAAATACATCCCAAACAAAAAACACTCAAAGCAGACGCTGACCGACAACACAAACAATACATTTGAACCACATCCTCTCGCATTAAGACGAGTTCCTTACTGAAAAGGGACGCAGATGAGAACAATAGAAAAAG